CCCAAAAGTGGCTTTCCTAGTGCAGGTTAAAAGGGATTCCTTGTGCTATCAATGTGTGATGGGTTTGACCATCACACTTCTGCAGACACAGGTGCCCACATTCCTGCACAGCTGTGCCCTCCACAGCCCGCCTCACTCAGGCCCCTCACAGCTTACAGACCTTTGGAGGTTCTGACCTCCTGCACAGGTCCCACCCCAGGGAGACACTGCAGGACACAGGTAATTCTCATCCATAGGATGTGAGCGCTAAAGGGACCTTCACAATCATCAAAGCCAACCCCTTCCCCCAGAATTGTAGAACCATGGCATCTCAGATGTGGAAATCTGTCTCTTCCTACTCATAGTTTAAGAGCAAAGGAAGACAAAAACCCATCTCCAGTGCAGGGACGTGAAACATTGATCCCAGCTCGGAGGCTGGACATTCAGCAGACAGGCAGCAGGCAGGAATCTGCAGCAGTGATAGCCCAGGATGGGTGTCAGTGGGTCAGAGCTGGCAGGCACTCTGTCTTGGTGGCTTTATCAGAGGCAGGTTTAGACTGCGGCTTTTCTTCAGGGGCTGTTTGCTCTTTGCTTTCAAAGGCAGTTTCAACTTGCTAGAACTGGAACCCCAGGACACGGTGGGAAGGGTCTTTTGGAATCAGACCAGACACGTGTGTTCAAAGTCTGCTCCACCAAAGTGAGAGAGTAGCACTGATATATATACACACTAAATGTAAAAGAGATAGCTAGTGGGAAGCAGCCGCATAGCACAGGGAGATCAGCTGGCTGCTTTGTGACCACCTAGAGGGGTGGGATAGGGAGGGTGGGAGGGAGACGCAAGAGGGAGGAGATATGGGGATATATGTATATGTAGAGCTGATTCACTTTGTTATACAGCAGAAACTAACACACCATTGTAAAGCAGTTATACTCCAATGAAGATGTTAAAAAAAAAAGTCTTCTCCACTTCTAACTATCTGGGTCACCTTGCACCCCTCTCCAAATCCCTGCTTCCTTATCTGTAATTTACCAGGATCACTGACACCCTATCTGTCTAGGTCTCAGCAGAAAACAGGACTCCACTCACCTGGATCAACTAAAGAGAACAGGCAGGACTCCTTAGAGAGGGTGGGTGATATTAAGGAAAGCAACATGGGCTGTTGATGCACCCCAGATCTAACCACCAGCCTCTGGGAGAAGTAAGGAGAAGGAACAGCCCAAGACAACGGGAGCTGTGGAGCAGAGGCTGCTCATAGCAGCTCATCATGGAGCACAGTTCCTCTGCAGTCAGTCTTCAAAGCAGGAGGGAGCAGAGAAAAAAATACCTTGACCTCTCTCTTCTGTGCCCTGATCTCCTGCGGGTGCCTCCCCAGTGGGTCAGTCGCAACCAGAAACCATCCTGCAAGGCAGCCAGGAGATGAGGCCGTAGGGTCACTTCCTGGGGTTCAGAGCTGGATGGGGATAGTAGGGGTAGGTGTAGAAAATGGAGTCTCACCACACGTTATCTTTATTTTGTCTTGTTACGAGGACAAAAGTAATGTCTGTAAAGCACTTAGTATGTAGCCTGATGCGTAGTAGTATCTCAACAGATGAAAGCAATTTTTTTATTATTCCTATTCACAATTAGGCTCTTTAAGGCAACTGTGTCCTGCCTTGTTTTCACACAAAAAGCCTCAGAAGCACTCCTTAGATGCCTGATGTGTGCCGTGACTTGTGGAGATACAAGCGTTAATATGACCCCAAGGCTGCCCTCAGGGAGAGAAGATCCATGGACATGGATGCCCGTGAGACTAGGCAGAAGGTGACAAGGGTCACAGCTCTGCTTCCCAGCTGCAAGCTCCTCTAAGGCCAGGACCACAGCTTCTAGTGCTGTTTTCTTTCTTAATACTTAAAAACTTTTCTTTTTCCAGTAAGAGTCTAATTAGAATACATGCTTATTGTAGAAAATGTGGAACTTGCAGAAAAGCATAAAGAAGAGAATAAAAATTACCTCTCTCCCCTCTCCAGAGACAGTCACTTAATACTTTCGTGAATCTCCCTCCTACTCTGCATGCTGTTTTATTAGAATTATTCTCATGTTAGATGTACAATTTGTATCCTGATGGTTGTTTGGGGTTTTTTTCCACTTTTTCATAAGCATTGAAACCATTCCAAAAATATCTTTTAATCACTTCATAAGAGTAAATCACATGGTTGGGAACATGAACTCAGAGTCAGCAGACTAACATCTAATTGCAGCTTCACCAGTTCTTAGCTGCATGACAATGGACAAGTTACTTAAATTTCCTGAGCTGCAGCTTCTTCATTTGTAAAATGACGCAAAGGGAGGTTAAAATAGGCATCTTACAAAGTTGTAGTAAAAGAAATAAGATAATTTTGAGAAACAGTAGTTCCGTATCTGGGACATAATAGAGAGCTAAATGGTAATTATCATAATTGTCATTATTAGTCCATAGTCATTCCTCTATTGGTGAATATTTAGGGTGTTTTTTATTTATTTTTAATTAAATAATTCTGTTATGACATTTTTGAACTTTAATCTCTTTCCGCACTTCGACTTTTTCCTTAGGGTATATAAAGCTATTGGTCCTGGCTATAAACATTTAAAACTTCAAGTTCTGGAGCCAGGTGGCCTGGACTTACGTCCCAGTTATGCTACTTACTAGCTGTGTGATACTGGAAAAGTTGCTTAACCTTTCTGTGCTTCAGTTTCCTCTTCTCTAAAATGAAATAATAGTACCAGCTGTTGTAAGGATTAAATGAGATAATAAATACAAAGTGCCTGGCACAGGTAAACAAAATAAATGTTAGCCTATGTTATTACCATGCACACTGCTAATTACATTCTTTTACTCATCTATCCCCAACGGCTTTCGGCACTGGGCTGGGTATCAGTAGATTTTCAGTTACTACATATTAAACTGGTTGCTCTGAGTGTTCCTTGCATACTCTGGGAGATGCCCTGCCTGCTTGTTTGACCCAAGGCCAGTTCTCTCACGTCATCCTGTCCACATCCTGCCCCCACCCCATCCCCAGTGCCTACAGCCTGTATCTTTCCTTTTTGCCTCAGTTCAACTTGTAACACTGTTCACCTGTTACAGAGTTCCCTAGACAGACCCCAAATAGTATAAGACCTCTCCAGAGGCTTCTGGGTGATAGGCCAGAGTCCCTGCCTCCACCGCTGCCACCCAAGGGTTTAGGGACCCTTCCTGGGACTTGGGCCCATAGCCCTTCTCTTATTTCTCACCCAAAGCCTGGAGAATTCGAGCACCTATTATTCAGGGCACTGGAGGCAATCCACTGCAGGCAATCCACTGCAAAACCCAAATGGGAAGATTGGTTTATGCCAAAGGGTAGGGTTGTGTAAATAACCCAGAAACCCAGCAATTACAGGCACACCAGGACCTGCAGCTGAGGTGTTGGCCACACACCATTAGCCACAGCTGCTACCAGGTTTGTGTGTAGCTACCAACCTCCAGTGGAAATGCATGATTTGGGAGTAAGTAGACTGATTCATGAGGATGGTGAATTTCCACAGGTTGGGTGCATGGGATGGATAATCAAGTGGCTAGTTCCATAATCTATCCTTTCCAGGAGGAATTCTACAACAAAGCTTGAAACTCAGATCTTGAATTCTCAGAGGTGATTTCCATCTTGCTAAATGTTCATGCACATTCTGATACTCCCAAGCAAAATGTCAGTTCTTCACCCCACAAATGTTTATTAAGCACCTACTATGTGCACGCACTGTATCAGGATTAGTGGGTTAATCATTATCTAGAACAGGAAAAGCAAATACACAACAAGTATATCGTATATCCCCTATCCTTCCCCCAAGGCAGACACCAATCCTCCCAAAAGCCTAGACATGGTCTCAGAGCCCATCTCGACATGGGGCCCCAGGCAGTCCTACCAGTCCAGCTGACATGCCATATTAAACCTGTTTGCAGTCTGGGAGCTCAAGTGCTACAAGTACTTAGAGAAAACGGAGACAGCAGGGAAAAGAAGTCTAAGCAGCCATCAGTCATGTGGGAATGAGGTGAGGTAATTTTGAAAGCAGCTCCACAGCTGGTTGGTGTAACAATGCAAGCTAATCAAGGCGACGGGTCCAGGCCAAGAGCACAGGCTGCTGTGTGACCCTGAGCAGGTCGCTCCACCTCTCTGGCCCCCGTTTTCTTCTTTCTAAAATGGGGCTGATAATAAGAATACCCTCCTCACAGGGTAGTTATGATAAGTAAATGAGACGATGCAATGTAAATTGTTTAACAACACCTGTCCTATAGAAAGCAGTTTGCTTTCATTAATTAAATACAGACTGTATTTGGGTAAAGAAGAAGGAATTTCCCTCTTCCAAACAACCCAGTAGAAGGACATTCTGGACACTTGATAAGATAGAAGAATTTTAGGCCCAGGAACTAGAACTAGTTGTCTTATTTCCATCGGAAAATGTGCTTGTTGAACCCCACAGAGCTAGTTCCCAGGAACTGCCCCAGAACACAAAGGTGTGGTCATTAGGGCATATTTCTTAGCTGGAGCTCTGTCTCACCCCAAAACTGACACCATCAAACAGAGGCAAAAGTAAAAATGACAGTGTGTTCTCTTGCTTTTGTCAGCTGCCTAAAAGGCAATATATCCTTTGATTTGTGAAAGGGGACCCTTGCCAAATACATGGAATAGTCCAACAGAATTCATCTGGAAATCGACGAGAATGCCAAATATATTGTACTCCTATTCTGCCTTCTTTTGTTGGATAATATTTATTATATTATTGGGTTGGCCAAAAAGTTCATTCAGTTTTAAGTAAACATAAAAGACACTTTTTTCATTTTCACCAAGAACTTTATTGAACAACGTATTCACTACCAGAACGAACTTTTTGGCCAACCCAATACAAACAGAAGTCCTCTTAGACATTTAGGAAATTCAGAGAAGGAAAAAGAGGAAAATAAAAAGCATTCATAATTCTACCGCCCAGGAAAAAAAAAGGGGGGGTATCTATTCATCCATACTTTTCCCTCTGCTTTTTAAATTTTAAAAATACAACATTTTTTATTTTAAAATTTTCTGCTTAAATGATCTTTCTCTCTCACTCTCCACCCTATTCCCCTCTAGTTTATCATTACCAGTTGAAGATTCAGTTCAGCAACGAAATTGAGAAACCAGTAGAACCAACTTTTGCCATGTCACTCCTCGGAACAAAAGAGGAAATGCAGAAAATCCCCATCACTCTGTGAGTATGAGGTACAGCCCCGTCCGTGGTGATGAGAGGCTTAATTTTCTCATAGGGTCTGGATGGACCCTGCTTTTCAAGGGTCAGGCCACACACAACTTACTCTTCTCAGCCCATTATGACTGCCCCAAACACCCTGTCAGATGGGACATCCACTCACACTCAGCACCTCGTCATCCCTCCGCAGCCTCACCCAGTCCCAACGATTACTTTATGCTGCTGCTACCTGTGTTTGTGATGGGCCCAGTGCGACAGGGACTGGAATGGAGAGGGAGGCCAGAGGTGGCCGTCCATGTCTGCAGTACAGGAAGTAGATCCCAGCAGGGAGGAGTGTTGATGGCTGGAGCAGGTGTCCCCAGGAAGGCCCTGAGCGCCTTTCCAGTGAGTTCTGAAAAACACAACCCAGAAATAACACTGGTATCGTTCAACGTGGCACCAATTTTCCATTCAGTCAGCCTGCACTGCCAGCCCTCCCCATCTGTCCTTTGCCCGGCTGCACACCTGCTCACAACATGGGCAGTGGCCTCAACGTCTCCTGCAGAGGCTCCGCACCTTCACTGGCCAGAAAAGGCCTGCTGGCTGCTTTTTCTCAGCATCTTGACCTCAGCCCGGGCTCTCCTTGGGAAGTGACACTAGCTTTCACCCACTCCAGGGACAGTCCTCAGCTTTCTGAGAATTGCCCCCAGCTTTGAACCTCTGATCATCACACTGATTCAGTCGCTCAGCAAGGATGTGTTGGTGCTCAGCACTAGAGGTAGAGATGACACTAAACTTAGGATGCTCCCAGCCTAGTGGGGTGGGTGGATTCCTAAACGATGCTTTACAACATACTACAGGAGGAGCTACGATGAGCCAAGCAAGGGAATCCTCCAGCCACCTGTCTCACCCTAAATCCAGTGTTAACTCTGCGCTGTCCCAAATCTCTCCCCGGGAGATTGTTCTAAGTAGTGGAAAGGGCATCTGGCAGTTCTGTCAATGTTGGGACATTTTAATGTCTTGGAGATTAGTGAGGAAAGCTGCTAATGATACCTAAGGATCTGCATTTAAATCTTGCTCCAAACTGGTGCATCCTTTTTATATGTGGTTTTCTATTACCGCTATACTTGTTGTTTTAACAGAAGTTTCTATTTATGTGGGGAGGAAAAAAGCATCGATCTGGAGAGAAGACTGTCGTGTGGCTCTAATATGTTGATCAAACCTACAGAGAGCGGTATTGCCCAGAGACCATTGCCAAAGCCCCTGCCCTCATCAGGGCAGTTTTCCCGACTTGTTAATCTGGAAACTAGGAAGCCTGAGCTAAACAAAGCTAACTAGACTCATTACCGTAGAACTCTTAGGGCGTTTTTTAATATGCTAACACAGAAAATAAGATGGTTTTCCCAATGTTATTGGTCTAGAAAAACCCTTTCTATCCTGGCACACCTATTGCTATCTCTATTAACAGTCTGTCCAATACCAGTTTGGGAAATGCAGCAGAAAAGACCATCCCAAATCATTCAGGCAAACCTAACATATCCTGAATGTGCCTAAGCATCACTTTGCTGTTAAAAATCAACTGACTGTGTCTGGTTTCCTTTGCATCTTCAAGGAACAAAGGAATTACTAGTAATAAAACCTATTCCTTTCTTATCACATTGGATTTGGATATTGGTGAGCTGATCATGATCAAGTTCAAGTGGGAAAACAGTCTGGTGTGGTCCAACGTCTGGAACACGGTCCAAACCATCATCCCCTGGGGAAGAGAGTCCCTTCACTCGGGCCTTGTTCTGAAGAGCATCAGAGTCAAAGCGGGAGAAACACAGCAAAGGTGAGTGCTGTTTCAACCTCCTCCTAACATCTGTTAAGCATCTACCTATGTCAGCATTTTACAGTTTACTATTTGCATTTATCTTATGAAGTGGGCATTATTATCTCCTAACGATGCCATGTAGATGCTCAGAAAGATGAAATGACCATCCTGAGTTCACAAAGCCATAGGTGGAAGGACCAGGATCTGCACCTAGGTCTTCTGATTTCTAGTCTAGACTCTTCCCTCTGCCCACAGTTAACAGCCACCTGCCTCCAGAGTTTGAGGACAACTCACTAGCCCGGTGCTTTTCAAATTTCACCAGGTGATGTCAATGCTGCGGGTCCAAGGACCACACTTTGAATAGCAAGGACCTAGACGTGACATTTCTTCTTTGTTGTTTACCCAGAGAAACGCTTTTAACAAATCACAATCTCAAAATCTCACACTGTGGTGGCACCTTTCACATCTAAGAACGCCAAGGGATCACTAGGGAACTTATTGACTATGCAGAATTCCACCTGAATAGCCACCTGAAGAGCTTCTGATTGGCTGTGGTCTGTGAAGGACCACACATTTGGAGCCCTAAGAAATTCTGATGTGGACCACTGGATTACCGTCAGGAGGTGCAGCTCTGTGTGACTGAACGTCTCCCTCAGCCCAAAGTCTCTAGGGACAGGAGGGGCTGGGTTGGGGGCAGGGAGTGAAGGAAAGAAAGGATGTCCAGCTGCTCCTTCAGGCCTCTCAGCAGAGCAAAAGAATGCTCAATGTGTTTTACTATGGCAAACGTGCTTTTCTGTGGTTCTGCAGTTCCCCATGAAAGGAGAATCCTGTCCTTCCCCAGACCTTTTCCTATCTCCTCCCCACTGTATTTAGGAAACTTGTCTCTCCTCTCCGACTGCCCTTTGTTGGCCAGCCTATTGCTCTCTTTGGCTTGCTGTCAGCAGAGTTGGAGAACAGCATGCCTCTCACCTCTGAACTACTCTCTTCCCTCACCCCTCAGGTCTCACTGCTAGGAGCGGCCTGTGGCTGATTTATGCCCCGAGTCCCTTACACAACCACACTCTGAGTTTTTATCTCCCTGGGATACAAAATCCTGGCAATTACTAAGAGCATACTCTGCAGTCTGCCAACAGATTTCTCCGCATGATCAATTTGAGAAAATTAAACTGCTTCTCTCCTCTTATACACTTAGCTATTCTTGCATGACTTTTTGGCCCTTTAGAAGAGCTCAACTGAGCACCACCCGTCCCCAGATTCTCTCAGCTGGAGAGTAATTCCTCAGTCTTAGTGGTTGCTTGCCATGGCAATTCTAGGTGACTTGACCTGAAAGGTAGTATAAAACACAGCACTATCTTCTCCCCTGGTGCTTACCACATGGCTCTGAGGAAGGAAAGAGGAGAGGGACAGGAGTGCTGCTTACAGAGCTCCTGCTGCACCATGGGCTTGAATGAAGTGCTCTAGAGCATTCATCTCATGGAAGCGTCCCAGTGACCTTCTGAAATGGGTAGTATTGCTGTGCAGATTAGGAATCTGAGGCTCAAGGAGTTACACAGCTTAGGGACATTGCTCATAACTGTCTGAACCCAGATCTGACTTGGTTTGTTTGACTCATTACCCGTTTGTTGCCAGAGCACAGCTTCCAACAGCTCCTCCCCCCCATTAGTCTTGGTCCCATTAATCTGACCTTCTCTGGTCTAATCTAGCAGAGTTGCAGAGCTGGAAGTTAATATATATGTACATCACACCTTTCCTCACGGCTGCAGGAGGGACATCATGAAAAAGGGGGAGGGAGTCTGGGACCTATAGTTTTTTAAGTTTTTAACTCAGTGAGCCCTATGGGTCTTTGCAGTACCCAACACCATCGGCGGGGGCGGGGTACCAAAAAAATCTGAGTTGTAGCTTTTGGCAGAAAGAAACTCAAGGACCTAATTAGGAAAACAAGATGCATTAATTTTACTAATGATATGCTCCATCCCAGGGCTTCTCAAACTTTAATATGCACACAAATCATCTGGGAATCATGTTAAAATGTAGGTTCTGCTTTGGTAGGTAGAGATGGAGCCTGGGATTCTACATTTCTAACAAGCTCCCAGGTGCTTCTGATGCTGCTGGTCCATGGATTGCACTTTGAACAGTAAGAGTCTAGTACTGCATGGTCTATAGGAAGTCTAAGAAGAAAGACATCAGTTCAGGTTGGTGCTGTTCGGTCAGTGCTGCAACAGGCTTTGGAGAGGCCAAGAGGCATTCCCGGAGAGATAGGCAGTGAACAAACCATATATAGGCAGAATCCAATGACTTCTGCATCAGCTAGTCCCAAAGTCGAATTTTGATTTCACTGCTTCCACCTATGGAGGCTCAGGCAATAGCTGCACCTCTCTGAGACTCAGTTCTCTAGTAACAAATAGGAATTATAATATGTATCTCATGAGACTAATAACTACCAATTTTTGAGTACCTTCTACCATCTGAAATCCCAGAGCTGGGATGCAGATATTAAACCTCATTCTCAATCTCTTTGCTAACTACAAGAAAAATAAAAGGTTAAATAACTTGCTCTGTGCCTCCACGGAAGGAATTCAATGAGAGGTGATTTTCTTCCCCCAAAGCACAAAGTCAGGGATGAGAGGGACTGTTGTGGGGTGAAGAGCAGAGCAGAGAATATTCGTCCTGTAGCAAGAAGTGAAAAGTGATTGGCTAAACAAAATGGGATGTTTGATTGCCACAGTAATCATATAAATGCAAAACAAAAATCAATGAAATTATCACTGGTCACCCACTAGTTTGGCAGGAATTCAAAGACAGATAACATCTAGAGCTGGTACAGGTGTGGAGAGATGGGCATTTTCATACATTATTCGTGGGAGTACAAATTACAGAGCTTCTGTAGGGGAATTTCACTCAACAACTAACATTTAGTGAGCGCATATCTTATGCTAGACACTGCTGTGTATACAGCAGTGAACAGAGTGGACAAAGCCCTTGGTCTCATAGAATTTATATTATCAAAATTTGACATATGCATAATCTTGACCCAGAATTTTATGCTAGGTGCCTATCCCGGAGAAATACTCAAAATATCCACAAAGGATATCTATGTACAAAAATGTCTATTGCAGTACTATTTGTAAATACTAAACCATTGGGGAAAAATCCCAATCTCCATTAACAGGAAAATGGCTAAATGCATTGTCATACATCCATACACTGGAAGGTTATGCAGCAGGTGAAAAAGACTGAAATAGATTTTTTTGAAATATAGTTGCTTTATAGTGTTTCAGGTGTACAGCAAAGTGATTCAGTATATATGTATATTCTTTTTCAGATTCTTTTCCATTGTAGGTTATTACAAAGTATTGAATATAGTTCTCTGTGCTAAACAGTATGTCCTTGCTGTTTATCTACTTTATAGATAGTAGTATGTATCTGTTAACTGCAAATTCCCCATTTATCCCTCCCCCCACTTCTCCCCTTGGTAACCATAAGTTTGTTTTCTATGTCTGTGAGTCTCTTTCTGTTTTGTAAATAAGTTTATTCGTATCACTTTTTTTTAGATCACATATAAGTGATACCATATGATATTTGCCTTTCTCTGTCCGACT